ACTTTTAGCAGAAAGAACCGAAATCCTTTATTCAGGGGCGGTCCTAGACCATTTGGTGCCCTAGACAAGTTCGGGCAGTGGCACCCCTCCACCCCCACCCCCACCCCCACCCCCAACAAACACAAAAAGTGTTTCCAAATTGCTGTACATTCACTTAAACAACTATAATAAATCACTTCAACAATATGAGCAAATCTATTTAAAGCTAATTATATTGGTGTGTTGAACTGTTTTCATGGCTGGTCCAAACCGCACCCACATCTTCCAAGTAACTCAGTCCTTTATTTGTTAAAATCTTGTTTCGCAGAAAAAAGTTTGAAATAAAAACAGCAAAAAAATACTTTTTTCAGCACCTCACAAAGCTTCTTGTTATTTTTCTTCACTGTTTACTAGGGGTGTAACGGTACGCTAAACTCGTATTTGGTTTGGTTCAGCGTTTTGAAGGGCTCGGTTTGATAATTTTCGGAATATTATGATAATATTCATTTATTTATTTAATATCTGAAGTGGATCCTATAGTGAGCAGAACCAGGTGTCATCACAGGCTGCTAATCTAGCATGATGTATTTAATAATTTCACAGGGTATTTGCGCCACAGACATTTATACATAGATGCCCTGTGGACTGGCGCCGTCTATCTGTCACACCCTGTCCTGTCTTCTCTTAGGTTTTGGTCTGTGTCTCCGTTAATTGCTCCCACCTGCCTCTTGTTTCCCAATCACCATAGCTCCCGCTCCTCGTGTATTTAAACCCCTTCTGTTCTGTGTTCCATGTCGAGTCATTGTTTCAGTGTCCAGCGTGTGTGTTCAAATAAACTTATGTTAAACGGACTCACCTGTTCGCCTTTTTCCTCCCTGCGTTTGGATCCTCATCTGATCACCGCTCCACTCACCAGGCACGCACGTTCGTGACACTGTCGGAGATTCCATAACGGCCGACCGCCATGCTACATAGATTAGCCCCCAGAGCATTCATTTCTACTGAGGAAGGTGCTTAGCCAACTAAAAAAACATGTTTTATCAAGCTTTTTGACAAAATCAAACACAAGGTACGGCATGATAATTCAAATTTAAATATAATTAAATAAAAATAAATATTAAATATAAAATCCTATCAGGTACGCTAGAAAAGTCACTAGTAATCCCACGTGATCTGTTTCAATAGTACGCTGGTTGTTGTACCCGTAGGCTGCACACAAACGCGCATAGTTGCTCACTCTGCATTGACCTTAGAGAGCGAGGAGACCCATCCAACATGGCGGTGACTCTGTTACACTCTCCAGCACCCAAAGGGTCATCTATGTATTCATGTCTATGATTTGCGCAGCACACTCATACAGACGAGTGTTGTGTTTCACGTGTTTTTATTTCTTCACTCTCCTCACACCGCCCAGAGTTTCTTCTTTAAAACTCGTATTAAACAACGAGCGTCCTCCGCGCCGTGTTTTTTGTTGTAAGATGAAAAATTTACATCAGTTGTCACAGCGGAAAGGTTCAGCAGACATGTTTGATTACATGTTTGCCACTGCGTGTCTGCACACTGTGAGAGAAGGGAGGGAGAGGCGACATGATGCTAAGGCTCTTTACACTGACTCCACAGTAGCAGCGACAGTCAACTGGTGTGATCCACTCTGAAAGACGTTGATCAGAATTTGAAAATATAATTTTTTTAACGGAGATTGCGCTCATCCTGCATCACTCAATGCAGCGTCCGTGCGGAAACTTGCAGAGGAACTTTCATCTGCTGCACTTAAATCACACAAATATGTGAAAAATTCACTATTTGATGGAACAAATAAACTGAAACGGTACGCAAGTGGACCGAACCGAAACGGTTCGAATAACCCCTGTGAACCGTTACCCTACTCAGTCCTGCTAATGTAACGGTGGAAACTTCTTCCATCACCTCAGAGGAAAATGAAATTAGGTACTACCTGATGTGGTCATGTCCAAACCAACTCTCTTCTCTGTAGATGGAGGATGAAGTGATGACGGACTGCTAATACTAGGGTGACCATATTTCCATTTCCAAAAAGGAGGACAGGGGATCTGTGCCTATGATGTCACACTTTGGCAACACCACACAAACCACGTTTGGACCATTTCTTTTCCAGGTGAAGAGCTAAAATTAATATCAGATTCTGCCAACAAAAAGGCTCTAAAACAAATCATGTGTAAATATTTTGCATATTTATTGCAATATCTCAGTTTTCAGCTGCTTTAGTGCTGCAACAAGGTTTTATTAATAATAAATTATTATACCTTTTGTTTTACTACAGCATCGGTAAGCTTCCTGTGCACAGATTATTAAGGATGCTTGTTTCAGCTGTGAGATTAGACGATAGGATCAATGAAAAAATAAGTTGTCACACACTCCATGGAAACTTTCAGAGAATCCACAAATAGTGGCTTTCAAATAGTTTTGTTACTTTTTTCAAGTTTAGAAAAGAAACAGATGAGACAGCATGTCTGATAATTTAGTTTTTCATCTGATAATATTAGAACATGTCAGTAATGTCTGAGGGGCTTTTATAAACACTGTATAACTAACACTCCTGGCCAGGGTATGGATTACACAGACAGAGGCTTCTGTGGAGCCTAGTTATGGGGGTGGGGGGTGCTCCGTTTTGCCTTGGCCCCCAAAATGCCTTGAAACGGCCCTGGGTGTTGAAGGTGATCTGAATTGTATCAGATGTATAATTATTACATGTGTATAACTTATTGTTTTATACAGGTAAAAACGTGTAGTGGAAATAAAAACCTACATTTCACTTTGAAGCTTTGTTTTCTTGTTTTTATTTAACTATTTTCCTGTCCTGTCTCTCATCTTCCTGCATCTCCTCTAAACTCTCCAGATAAACTGCTGCCTGGATTCTTACTTTTTCACCCCATCAGTTACTTTTGAGCAGATCAAAGGGATCTCCTGACTGCAAAGTGGAGAGTGTGTTTTTGCGTCAGTGAGGTGAAATCACAGCAGCACAGGTGATGAAAGTCGAGAATATGAGTGGGCATGTGCTAATTACAGTTTTTTGGTTGCGCCACTTTGAGAATGGACCGTGCACTGGACGCAGCTTCCTGAAGCGTACCAACGATCAGCGCTGTGCCGCTCTCTCTGCTCTCCGCTGAAAAGAATACCCGGTATGCTGAGAGTCCATAAATTCAATTCAATTCAATTCAAGTTTATTTATATAGCGCCAAATCACGACAAGAGTCGTCTCAAGGCACTTCACATAATAAACATTCCAATTCACAGTTCATTAAGCCAATCAGAAATAATGTTTCCTATATAAGGAACCCAGCAAATTGCATCAAGTCACTGACTTGTGTCAGTGACTATACAGCAATCCTCATACTAAGCAAGCATGCAGCGACAGTGGAGAGGAAAACTCCCTTTTAACAGGAAGAAACCTCCAGAGAATCCTGGCTCAGTATAAGCAGCCATCCTCCATGACTCACTGGGGATCGAGAAGACAGAGCAGGCAGACACACACACACACACACACACACACACACACACACACACACACACACACACACACACACACACACACACACACACACACACACACACACACACACACACACACACACACACACACACACACACACACACACACACACACACACACACACACACACACACACACACACACACACACACACACACACACACACACACACAAGTAATGTGTCTATAGTTATATTGTGATGTCTTAGTAAATATTGTATTTGGTGAAAGATTAACTTTATTGTATTTATCCTAGTGGATCTATAATTAAACGGATAAACTAGTATTAGCACATCAAAAGTCAATGAAAACAAAAAGTTATTATCAGGAGAGAGAGAATGTATTAGTGGTTAGCAGCAGTGTGCTAGTCGATGGCCCCCTCCATAAATGATGTAATAGAGGTAGTAACCTTTTTTCCAGCTCTCCCCTGATGAGTAAGATATCCAGCTCCACCATAATTCGATTCCTGCTCCAGGATGAAAAACCAGACATTTTCATGAATACAAGAAACCACCCCCCCGGATGCCCCGGACAGAGTGAAAAGTGGACATGTCCAGGGAAAAGGGGACGTATGGTCACCCTAGCTAATACTTACTAGGTGTGGTGTAACTGAATATGGGTATAAAGACTACAGAGTCGTGGGGGCGGGGTGATGATGTGTAGGGGTTGTTCAGGCAGGAAGCTAAGAAATAAAGACGTTGAACTAACAGTTGGACTCGCACAGTATTTTAATTACACAAAATGGTGTCAGAAGTCTGGTAGTTTGCGTTAAGAGTTTAGACCCATTCTGGAAGATTATTGTACACCGTCGGGAGGACGTAATGAGCCAAGGTGGAGAAGTTAGCGACATGAGCCAGCAGCTAGCTGTGGCTAATGAGAGTGCTACTATGGGGCCGTGCGCTACCTTCAATATTCAGCTGCCGGAGTCCTTCGAGTTTTCTAAACCGCATGAGTGGGACAAATGGATCCGACGTTTTGAAAGATTTCGCCTGGCAAGTAATCTGAATGTGTTATTGCATGGGTGACGAGGCAGATGACATTCTGCGTGGTCTTAATCTATCCTATGTCTTATATATTCTGGAAGTTGTGCAAATGCAGGGATGGGAGTAGATATTCTGCTGGGGTGGGGCTGGGTTGGTGCCTTCGGACTCCGTGAGGCTCTGCGATGCTGCTGTTTTGGGCCCTGGCAAGATGGGCCAGGGTCTCCATGCCCTGGGTGGCACTTTGGCAACAGAGGTGCCTATTGGGGCCAGTGGGGGAGCTGGCTCCCTGGAGGGCTTAAGTCCAACCAACCATTCCTCCCCATCCCCACAGATTTTTTTCCTCCTGCTCCCTCACATCATCACACAATCATGCACATAGGACCTTGGGGGGTGGACAAGTCAGGGGGTGCGGGTATGGACCCCATTTCTGCATTCCTGTGGCACTCTGTCATGGCCTGAGGCAATTTCTTGACCCACGACATGCAGAATCACACACGGAGAGCGGGAAGGTAAGTAAAAAGGGTTTTATTTTTGGAAATAATGAGCAACAGAGGTTCGGGACTCGACGAGATGCAGGACTGGCAGCAGGACTCCAGGAGGAGGTTTCTAAGGAGGGAGACAGAGTGAATAACTAGTGGAAACAGACGGAATTGTAACTGGAGACTGGTCTTACTGTTTCTTGGCAGTACTAAATGCACCGGGAGGGTTGTCTGGTCCGGGTGAGCTGAGGATATCCAGGAAAGGTGGTTGGTTTGTCCTGAGGTGTAGGAGCCGAAATGGATGTAGTAGGTGAGCGGCTGAGAGCGGGCGGTCAGAGGATGGAGCAGTGTGTCAAGTAGGTTGTGATCCGGGTTGGTTCTGGAGAGACTGAGGATTTTAAGAGGAACCTGGGAAACAACAGGTGAGGGCATAAAGGGGGTTTCAGACGACAGGTTATCACGAGCAAACATACAAAAAGGTCAAGGTCTGGTTAGTGGCTAGAGCTACCCAAAACTGAGTAAATCATCCGGCGTGGTGAAGTGTCACACTGCTCCTTAAATTCCCTGGCCTTGATGATGAGATCAGCTTCAGCTGGGAGCTCTCAGACACGCCCACCTGTGGAAACAAGCTCAGAGTAGAACAACCAGGTTACAGGCAGGCAAACTCACCACGGACCATGACAGTACCCCCCCCCTCAACGGACGCCACCTGGCGGCCGAGCAGAGGAGGAGGAGGCGGAGGAGGAGGAAGCCCGAGATGCCTCAAAGTCCCTGATGAGGTCCGGGTCCGTGATAAAAGAGCGGGGAACCCAGGAGCGATCCTCGGGACCGTAACCCTCCCAGTCCACCAGGTACTGGAAGCCCCGGCCCCGGGGGCGGACATCGAGGAGGCGACGGACAGGGTAGACCAGACCACCTCCAACAAGCCGAGCAGGCGGAGGAGGAGCAGGAGCAGGACAAAGGGGACTAGAGAGGACAGGCTTGAGCAGGGAGACGTGGAATACAGGATGGACCCTCATGGAAGGGGGCAGAGCCAAACGGACGGTAGACGGGCTGATGACATCAACAATGGAGTACGGGCCGATGAATCGAGGAGCTAGTTTCCGGTTGGTGTCCTTCAGGCGGATATCCCTGGTAGAGAGCCAAACCCTTTGCCCGGGTGCATATACCGGAGCGGGTCGCCGGCGTCGATCCGCAAGACGGCGATTACGCTCTGCTGTCCGCTGCAGAGCCGCTGTGGTCTGGGCCCAGGTGCGCCTGGCACGTCGAAGGAACTGGGGGGCAGTAGCCGGAAGGCCTGGATCTGATGGGAACAAAGGGGGTTGGTAGCCAAGGACAGTCTCAAATGGAGACAGGCCAGTGGACGCAGAGGTGTGAGCGTTGTGAGCATACTCCACCCACGGAAGTTGAGAACTCCAACCGGAGGGATTGGCTGAACACACGCATCTCAACATGGCCTCGAGTTCCTGGTTCATTCTCTCGCATTGCCCATTAGTTTGAGGGTGAAATCCAGAGCTCAGGGCGACACGGGCTCCCAGGAGATCGGCGAATTCCCTCCATACCCGGGACAGGAACTGGGGCCCACGGTCGGACAGTATTTCTGAGGGGATGCCATGGAGACGAAAAACATGTTTGATAAGCAGTTGGGCTGTTTCAGCAGAGGATGGGAGTGCTTTGAGTGGAACTAGGTGACAGGATTTAGAAAAGCGATCAACGATAGTGAGGATGACCGAAAAACCATTAGAGAGAGGCAAACCAGTGACGAAGTCCAATGCGATGTGGGACCATGGCCGAGAGGGTACAGGCAGTGGGTTGAGAAGTCCGTATGGAGGTTGGTTACTGGTCTTGTTACGGGCACAGATGGAGCAGGCGTTGATGTATTCGCGGACGTCTTTGTACATAGATGGCCACCAGAAAGTCCTACGGATCAAAGCTAAAGTACGACCGACCCCCGGGTGAATGGAAAATTTTGCAGTGTGAGCCCAATGGATTAGGTCTCCACGGACTCTGGTTGGTACGTACATTTTTTGAGGTGGTCCAGTACCTGGGTCCGGTTCGGTTAGTTGGGCCTCCTGAACTTTCTTGGAGATGTCCCAGGCTACTGCACCCACGATACAGGATGGTGGCAGGATAGGTGCAGGTTCAGGGTCCTTGTCAGGAGAGTACAATCGAGATAGGGCGTCTGGCTTTGTATTCTTGGAACCGGGTCTGTAAGAGATGAGGAAATGGAAACGAGAAAAGAATAGGGACCAGCGGGACTGTCGGGGGTTTAATCTTTTTGCTTCCTTCAAGTATGCAAGGTTTTTGTGATCGGTCCAGATGATAATGGGGTGTTCTGCTCCTTCTAGCCAGTGCCGCCACTCCTCCAGAGCCAACTTAATGCCCAGCAGTTCACGATCCCCAACATCATAATTCTGTTCGGCAGGAGAGAGTCTTCGAGAGAAGAAGGCGCATGGATGGAGACGGTGATCTGAGGGAGAGACTTGAGAGAGTACAGCACCAACACCAGAGTCTGAGGCATCGACTTCCAGGGTAAACTGGGCGGAGGTGTCGGGACGGGTGAGAATTGGTGCTTGGGTGAATTTGTTTTTTAGATCCTGAAATGCCTTCTCTGCAGCGGGAGACCAGATAAAAGGTTTATTTATCGAAGTGAGTTGGGTGAGGGGAGCGGCAGTATTACTGTAATCCTTGATGAAGCGACGGTAAAAATTAGCAAAACCCAGAAAACGTTGGAGTTGCTTACGAGTAGTGGGGGTAGGCCAGGAGAGAACTGATTGGATTTTGTCCGGGTCTGTCTTCAACCGCCCGCTCTCGAGGATGAAGCCGAGGAACTTAACTGATGAAACGTGGAATTCACACTTCTCTGCTTTCACATACAAACGATTCTCCAGGAGGCGTTGAAGCACGGCTCTAACGTGTTGCCGATGTTCTGCAGAAGATTTAGAAAAGATTAGGATGTCATCGAGGTATACAGTGACGAATTGGTTGAGGAAATCGCCCAAGACGGTGTTGACCAAGGACTGGAATACGGCAGGGGCATTTGTGAGGCCAAAAGGCATAACTAGGTACTCGAAGTGACCTAAGGGAGTTTTGAACGCGGTCTTCCATTCGTCGCCTTCTCTGATGCGAACGAGATGATAGGCATTACGCAGGTCAAGTTTTGTGAATATAGTTGCATCTTGTACAGGTTCGAAGGTGGAGGAAAGTAATGGGAGTGGATATTTGTTTTTTACCGTTATCTGGTTGAGGCCCCTGTAATCGATACAGGGTCTCAGGGAACCATCTTTCTTGGAAACGAAGAAAAACCCCGCGCCCAGGGGAGAAGTGGAGGGTCTAATTAAACCGGAGGCTAGAGATTCTTTTATGTAAGTGGACATACAGAGTTGTTCTGGTTTAGATAGATTATACAACCTGCTGGCTGGGAGTGTGGCGCCAGGCAGAAGGTCGATAGCGCAGTCATATGGTCTGTGAGGGGGCAGTGAGGAAGCTCGGTCTTTACTGAAGACGAGGGAGATATCATGATATTCTTCAGGAACTCCAGACAGATCGGGGGGAACAGGTGGATCGGGGTTAGAAGTAGAACTGGAAGGAGAAGCAGAGCGAAGGCAATTAGACAAACAATGAGCACTCCAGATGGTAACTTGGGACGTCCTCCAATTAATTTGGGGGTTATGGGTAACAAGCCAGTCATGTCCTAGGACAACAGGTGAGTGTGGGGATGGAAATACAAAAAAAGAAATGCTCTCCTGATGATTACCTGATACCTGTAACGTTACGGGCACAGTCTGGTGGGTGATGGTGGTAAGGCTATTGCCGTCCAGGGATGATGCTCTCAGAGGAGTAGGAAGAGGAATAGTGGGGATATTCAGCTTTTGAACGACTGTTAAATCCAGCATATTACGCTCACAGCCTGAATCCAGTAGTGCCTTCAACATACAGCTCTCTTGGTGAAACATGATGACACAGGACAGAGTACAGCGGGTTTCAGAGGCCACGTTTCCACCCACCAGTATTCCCGGAACTACTGGTGGGCTTGCCCTTTTAAACGTAGAACACAGTTGGAGAGACGGTGACCAGGTTGGCCGCAGTAGAGGCAGAGGTTAGAGGTTAAACGACGTTGCCTTTCTTCGGTGGTCAGTTTAGTTCTGCCTATCTGCATGGGCTCGTCTCCTGATGGGGCAGTGGCTGGTGGCAGAACGTTTCTGGTTTGGGTTAGTGAAAAATTAGATACTGTGGACATCTTAGAACGTTCTTTGAGACGTTTTTCTATTTTTATTGCCAAGGATATGAGTGATTCAAGGTCGGGAGGTTCTTGGCATAACGCCAACTGGTCCTGGAGGCGGTCATTCAATGCCTGGGTGAATGCTCCCAGGAGTGAACTATGATCTAGCGAAGACACTGCTGCCAGTGTGCGAAACTCGATTGCGAAGTCAGCTACGGACTGTTTTTCCTGACGGAGGTTCCATAAGCGCTTAGCAATTTCAGCTGGGGACTCAGAGTGATCAAAAGTCTGCTTAAAATCCGTCAGAAACCGAGAGAGAGGACCATGCAAAAAACTGGTGTCATGACTCCTAGCCTCAGCCCAGTCTAACGCCTTGCCACGGAGTAACCCAATTATGTATGAAATTTTAACTGAATCTAATGCAAATGCTTCGGGAGATCTTTCAAAAGCCAACTGACAACTAAATAAAAATCCACGGCATTTGCCGAACTCACCGGAATATGTTTCAGATGGGAGAGAAGTAGGTATCCGGAAGTTTATTGCTGGAGACGGAACCGGATGTGCGGACGGAGAAGAAACAGGAGGCGGCTGTGCGGAAGGTTCCGGGGAAGTTAGCTTGGCAGTGAGGGTGCGTAACATGTTGTCCATATGGAGTAACCGTTGGTGGGAGTCAGAGGATTGTTCTAGCAAGCTATGGATGGCGTGTTCGTGACGGGAGAGTGTTTCAGAAACGGCGGACGGAAAGTTAACGGATGGATCGGATTCTGCAATGGAGTCAATATCATGGCCGGATGATTCTGTCAGGGCCTGAGGCAATTTCTTGACCCACGACATGCAGAATCACACACGGAGAGCGGGAAGGTAAGTAAAAAGGGTTTTATTTTTGGAAATAATGAGCAACAGAGGTTCGGGACTCGACGAGATGCAGGACTGGCAGCAGGACTCCAGGAGGAGGTTTCTAAGGAGGGAGACAGAGTGAATAACTAGTGGAAACAGACGGAATTGTAACTGGAGACTGGTCTTACTGTTTCTTGGCAGTACTAAATGCACCGGGAGGGTTGTCTGGTCCGGGTGAGCTGAGGATATCCAGGAAAGGTGGTTGGTTTGTCCTGAGGTGTAGGAGCCGAAATGGATGTAGTAGGTGAGCGGCTGAGAGCGGGCGGTCAGAGGATGGAGCAGTGTGTCAAGTAGGTTGTGATCCGGGTTGGTTCTGGAGAGACTGAGGATTTTAAGAGGAACCTGGGAAACAACAGGTGAGGGCATAAAGGGGGTTTCAGACGACAGGTTATCACGAGCAAACATACAAAAAGGTCAAGGTCTGGTTAGTGGCTAGAGCTACCCAAAACTGAGTAAATCATCCGGCGTGGTGAAGTGTCACACTGCTCCTTAAATCCCCTGGCCTTGATGATGAGATCAGCTTCAGCTGGGAGCTCTCAGACACGCCCACCTGTGGAAACAAGCTCAGAGTAGAACAACCAGGTTACAGGCAGGCAAACTCACCACGGACCATGACACACTCTGCCCCCCAATTTTATTTGCACCTTATACACTTCCACTGACGACATTCCACACAAACACACACTTAGGGCCTTGGGAGAGAGCACATTCAATGGCATTTGGCAGGGTGATTTTTCAGCCTCATCCCGAGTGCCGGTGCCCACTTCCAATTTTAAACTGCACTTAGACACCAAGGGCTGAGGGTGCAAGTGGGGTAGTGTGGTGGCATCAGCAGGCGTAGGTCAGACGATGCCTGAACTGCCCGCTCACCACAGCCATGGAATACACCTCATCAACACACACTAACACTATATTGGAGCTGGCAGAGGGAGACTAGGGCTCTTAGCACACCTCTGTTGTCACTTGGCTTCCCGGGGCTGGAGGCTAGATGGGACATCTGGCTGTCTGGTTGGGGTCTGGGGTGGTGGGTTGCTTTGCTCAGCGTTAGGCGGGGGAGACTGCTCATCAGCACCCCAGCAGAAAGGGTTGAACTCTGGGAACTGGTAATGGTTGTACCCCATGTGCAGCAGTACCAGGACCAGAGTGAATAGGGTGTGTATGGGGAGCATGAGTGGGTGTCTGGCGTGCATTTTTGTAAGTCTTTGGTTGTATGTGCATGTGTGAGCATGAGGGAGGGAGTGTGTGACTGTGTTTGTGCATGACTGTACACGTCAGGTGGGGCCTTTGACTCCTCCCTTCTCCTGGGACTTCTTTTGATGATATAGATCTTCGTCTACCCTCCCCCTCAACCTCTCAAAATCCAATAATGGCGTAGATTAATCTATTCCAATCCATGCTGATTCGTCCACTCGCTCCTTGATCGCATCCATCTTTTGTGCCAACGCATGAATCTCAGCCAAAGTTCCAAGCTTACGACTCATCTTGACAATTATATGAGTCTGCGAATTCACAGTGCGGTGCAATCCATCTCTGAGCTCCGGGAGTGAGCCAATATTCCTCAACAGCTTGTTAATTTTCCACTAAGTCAGGTAACCTCCAAGGCCAAAGAGCAGGAAACCAGACACCAACACCACAAATATCCAGACGTCTTCAGAGTCCTCTACAGACAGCTGAGATAGGCAAATCAGGTTCCACTGTTTCCAGGAGTCCATGATATGCCCAACTGGATCCGTCCCAGAGGGGCACTCGGGAGCCCCTTCTCCCGTTCTCATTGTTGAGAAAATTTTGTCAATCGGGTTGAGTGACCAGCTGACCAGATCCATTTTTAATCATTTCCAGTTTCCAGAAAAAATGTAGAAGCTCCGTACACCCAAAGACAGACAAAGAGCCTTGGGGATAAGATAGGGAGGAGAGGAGGAAAAAAAAGTCTGTACTCTCCAAGAGCCGGAAGAAGCCGGATTCGATCCCCAGACTCTCAGGTGAGAGTCATGCGCGCTAACCTGTCAGCCAAAGGGACATCTCCTTGGCCAAGAAGCCAGGGCGCATGATCAGTCGGGACACTGTGACAGGACGCTCACACTGCCACACATGCTTGTGGTTAACCGTCTCTGTAGTAAATCGCTGGCTTAGCATTCATATTTATCTAGTATCTTTTCACACTTTGGTAGAGAATAAATACTAAAACACAGGAATTCTTGGAACTTTTGGGATTACGGTGAAGGCTAAAGCTGATCTAATTTTTCCAGCTTGTCTTATCCCACATCCTGTGAAACTGGTAGGATGTGCCTCAGGAGCTGACAAGATCGCTCACATTTATAATCCTACAAGGTAATGTTTAGTTGAGCAGTGGTATGTTGACTGAATGTAGATACATCCTTGTGATTATTAGTGACCACCCTCCAGGCCTGTGTGTGTGTGTGTGGCGCGGACCTGTTGTGGATGAGCTTCTGCTGACCAGCGCTCTGAAACGGTCATTTATCACACATTAAAGCTCCTTCACACAGAACACTCATACAGACACACACACACTGTGCAAACGCTGCTTTTTAACGGTTGAGTAAATGAAGATGAAATTTAAGTGACTGCTGTTTCCTGAGCTCCGTCTTTCTTTTCTCCTCCTCCTTTCGGCTCTTTTCTAAATTTCCCCAGGGAGCTCCAGCCCCCAGGGTTTGGCTCAGTGTCAGAGTCCTGGCAGCCATGATACTTCATCAGGCATTTGCACCACTATTGGCAACAGTACTCTGCATCTTCTTAGCAGTTTTAGCTTTTCAATTTTCCTTTGAAATGCTGAGCCCAGCAGAACGTCTGGCAGAATGTTGGCATTGGGTTCTGGATTGTCCTGAATGCCTGTAAAACATGGAGCCACCGGCTGCAGCCCGCTGCACCGCAATGACAAATGCAGGACACGTTCATAACGGGCACCATTACAGGAAGCAGCTGTAATGTTAGAGCTTTATGTCATCTTCGGGTGGCTCTGGGGGCCTCTGATGGATTCTTTAGCCATCCAAAGAACACGTACCAGATTAAACCCATGCTGTTTGGTTCCTGAGCTCAGGAGGACAAGGAGCAGAAAAGTGCTCAGATCATTTTCAACTCCTCCTCCGCTTATAGATTTGAGTCCATTGCATTAATAATTCATGCTGGGGGGGAGGGGGCTCCTGAAAACCTGATCTGGATCAATAGAGCTGACCTTGGATTGAGCTACTTACGGATGGACCACAAGGGTCTGCTGCTGTCACGTGACTTCACCCTACAGGTTCCCGACAGACGGAGGAGCATCACGACCTTTTCTGATCCCTCCCACTGATGACTCAGCTGAGCAGCTGGTTAACTCCATAGAGGCCCCCCAACATCAAAACATCTGGTTCACTAACCCTGACCCTGATTAATGCTTCTCCGTCTGCGTCGGTGCGGAGACACGCAACGCCATTATGCGTCGGCGCAAGGGCTCTCTGACGGGCTCACAGAAGGTGACGGAGACAGGCCCAAAATTTTTTTAATCCGTCAAAAGAGAACGCAAGCTTGTGATTGGTCAGGATGCAGCTTCAAGTAAATTCGTCATCAGCATCGCCGTTGCCCCATTAAAAAGTAAAGAAATATTTAGCGGCAGATTGAAGAACGCATCGCGGAAAAAGTCCGAAAATATGAGCGTTTCATTTGTGACTGAAGGAGTACAAAATACGGAGAACACGTGGACGGAAACGACGGGAAACGTGGGTTCGGAGGCGGTTACCACATCAAGAACTAATTTGTCCGTGTTATAAAGTCTTTGAAATACGTAAACACATCAGTAAACACACCATCCTGGACCAGATACATGAGTGTTATGGTGGCAGGACACCACAGAAAAGCACTACGCCCTCTGCTGTCCTGGTGGGGAATTGCTTTGCAACACTCCACTTCCTGTGCAGAAGTTTGCGTGTAAAAACATGTCCTTGGATAAGTCAGGCTTACTCATCTTTTCAGTAATGCTGGGCTGTTGTCCTGCCCCCCCCCCCCCCCCCCCCCCCCCCCCACGGCTGGTGAGCTGGAGCTAATCCCAGTACCATGGACACGTCTCACTGACATAATTAAAACCAAGAAGCATGTAATTGATGCATTTTATTGTAAGATGGGGAGTCATAAAAAAAAATAAAGAAAAACAAAACTCTTCATTATAAAAAATGTGTGTGTGTGTGCGGGGGGGGGGGGGGGGGGTGGTAATAAAACCGCTGTGACACTAACATAAAGGAAGGAACATGTTGGCACAAATAAGAACATACAGCAATATTATTTTGGCTTGGTAAAGGAACAGTCCATGTGTAAGGGTCATCCTTCGTTACAGCCTCACACACTCATGCTAGTAGATTAGTTGTCAGAAGATCAGTAGCTTCATGTTAGCAAGGGCAAAGAAAACCAACATGGACCAGATGCAGGAGGTCGTTTGATCCAAAAGTTGTTCGTCTTTTCACCCTGAAGAAAAACCTTGTTTCATTTGTTCATAAAACACACTTCAGTGTGCCGGAGTCTCTTTTACAGGCTTGCAGTTATTTGTTTTTTCTTCCTTGTCCATACTAAAATATATTATTGTATTAATACAAGCTAGAGTATTGTACACTACATACTGTAATAAATAAGCATAAAGAAATACAAAAACTCAGACACATAAATATGAAAGTTCTCTACGGATAAACAGGCAAACCTGCTCGTTGAGAGTGGAAATAATACTGCCACTGATGATAACGCGCACACATACATACACACACACACACACACACACACACACACACACACACACACACACACACACACACACACACACACACACACACACACACACACACACACACACACACACCGTAACAGAATATAAAATAATACTGACGGGTAAAACAAGCTCTCGCCCACATGTGGCTACCTGAAGAGACGTTTCTGAGGTGTGATAAACACGCTAAGAGAAGGCAGGACAACAAGATGTTATTCCATTTAAAATGTACACAGTAAATAGGATTTGTTCCGATTAGAAAACATCAAGTAAGTAATAAACACCACCTAGTGTCAGACTAAATTACTGTGCGGGGGCAACAGTGCTGTAGTTGTTGGGTTGATGGGGGACCCGCTGATACCTGATTGCTGCTGCGACACGTGCACAGCAGTGTTCAATGGCACTTCTGATATGCAAGCTTCTATTCGTTTATTTACTTTTTGCATAAGGCTTTGAGGCGGGGTGGGGGTAAACAGCTTTCTGCTCTCCACATTAAAAGGTGCAGTATGTAGAAGTGAAGTAAAAATGACTACAAGCTGCGGTATTAGTTTGCAGGAGACACGGCAACCCCACACGCACTGATGTAAACAGTTGTTACGTCCCTCCTTCCTTTGTGTTAAAAGGAGAAAACCTGACAGTCCAGCTGGATATGAAACATGTTTCAGTAGATCCTTCCTTCCAAAATGATTCACTGTAAAAATCTCACTATGTTCTTACATACTGCACCTTTAAAGCATTATTCTTTAGTATGTATTAGCCTCCGGAAGCAGCTAGCTTGACTTAGTCCACCCATTAGCATCTCCATGCTAGGTAACTTATGTGCCAAACCACTTCAGCGTCCAGATTAAACAAGGTGCGAAATCTCCTTAGTGGTTTTTAGCAGTGCAAGTGGGCGCTAAGCTAACATTTATCGGAAATGTTTTGGATCTTTTTCCAAGAAACTCAACTCTTCCGAGTGCCAACACTGAAACGGAAAAGGTTCACAGTTAGACAACAACATAAGTGTAATGCTAGGTAGCTGTAGGCGTGACGGCGCCGCACATCTAATACTGAAGGGTACACACAACCTCCAACCTGTAAGTAAACCAAGTCTCTTGTAGTGCACAGGATTGTTTTCTTTTAAATTTACTCCAACTTAACAAAATACTGAAGTTTTGTTCATTGGTAATAAAAAGATATAGAAATATTTCCAGACTGTACAGCTTTCAAAGGTTAGGATATGAGTGACAACATTAGTAAGATAGACAAAAAGAAAGACCCGAGGTGTTTCTGTAATAAAACGTGTCAGCTCTAGCTTCCACAGTTGTAGAATTTAACGTCCTTCATCTGTTAAAACTCTCATCTTCATCACTTCCGTACAGACGGGAGGCACGGCTCCCCCCGTAGAAAAGTCACAAGTATTTTTCAGGCACACCTGGATTTCTACACAGTAGTGAACTGTTGGAGTACACAGACATCATCTTCTGGGTTCCTCCTCACCGGGAGAGGAGGAGTCTGATTGGGTCTCATGAAGGAGGCAGGATCTCCTACTGCTCCTCATCCTTCTGGGGACCCTTCTCATCTTCAGGATTCTTGCTCCTGGATGTTTCATCTTCAATCTTATCTGGGACCTCCCCATATGTTTCCTCTGTTACACCTCCTTCTGTACCCATTGCCTCTGCCTCCTCCTCCTCCTCCTTCATATGAATGTCTTCCTCTCCATCGAGACTCTCCAGCACCTCCTGCTTTGTGCTAGCCTCCTCATCCTCCTCCATTTCTGCTTTTTCTTCCTCTTTCTCTCTGCTCACCACTACAATCCCTTTATTACACCTCCCCTCTTGCTCCTCTGTCTCATTATCTCCTCCCTTCTCTCCTATTTGCACCACCTGGATATCGTCCATATCCACCATGCCCTCCTCCTCTTCTTCACTCTCCTCATCCTCTCTGGTGCTGCCCCCTCTTTCGTCCGAGTCTAGCAGTAAAGGGACCATGTGCTGATTCTGCATGTCGGGCCGGGTCTCTCCATCCTCCTCGGGGCTATCCTGATCTCCTGCTTGGCTCTGCGTGTCCTTCTTGCAGTAGGAGTAGCGGTGGTTCATGTGCTGGGAGTAGGAGCCGGAGTGGGAGAATCGTTTCCCACACTTGTCACACTGGTACGGCTTCTCCCCCGAGTGGAGCCGCATGTGTTCAATCAGGTGGTGTTTGTGTTTGAAGGCCTTGTTGCAGATGCTGCACTCATGAGGTCGCTTCCCTGCAAGAAAAAAACAAAACAAAAAAATAAACCTTCATCAATGTATTTGGTCAAAATAAACCTGTTTAGCTGAAAAGAGACAGAAATATGGAAACAATTCAAGCAAAATCCCCCACAGTGTTGTGTAAAATGTTTCCACCCTGCGAGCTAAAAACACGATCTGTCCTCAACGTGTTCAAGGAGAACATTTCGGAACCGCTAGTTTCACCTAGGATGAGGTCATCTGGAGCTGAAAGCCCTGCTCGGAAGCCAAGTCTCAGAGTAATAAAGACAAGGAAAACGCCTCAGAGAGAAATGACCTGAGTTTGGCCACAGAATCATCATCTCACAGAGTCTAAATTACAACCAGAGATCGCCTCTTGCAAAATTCTGTGCTTTGAATGAGAAGCTGACAGTGCAGAGGTGGGAGTTAGTGGAAATAAATCCTCAGACCTCTTCTGTGTGTGTTGAGTAAGACCTGCTGGAATGGAGGTGTCCACCCTTCTCACTGGAGCTCAAAATCCCCGTTTGCTTGCTCTGACTCATCCCTCCAGCTTCTACAGTCATGATGATGATGTGTTGTTGTGTTGGTACCATAGACACAGGTACTAGACAAATTTCTGTCTGTTCTTCCAACCGCCGCTGTTTTGTCTCGCCACACCCAGACAATCCAAAAATGGGAAAAGATGCGGTGCTGGGAGTCGGGCTGTGAAGGTGGGAGCCAATGAGCAAATGTAGCTACTAGCTAACTGCGCTAACCCCGAAGTCAAGACGAAGCTGTGGAGAGCGTGAATTGGAATTGTAGGTTATCCAAGGAAGGTCTCGCCTTTCTCCTCTCTGATTGGCTAGAGGAGCTCTTCTACAATTGGCTGTTTTATTCAGCAGCAAACAGTCTTCCCTCGCTAAGTGCAGACTGTCCTGCTGCTTTGGGGAGTTCTGTAAATACAAACGTAGCACCATAAAACCCATCCTGTCCTGTTTTGTAACAAACGTATTTCAGTTTCTTTTATAAAACACCTTTAAAGGTGAACTATGTATTAACCGTACAGTTAAATAGTTACATAACAGTTCAATGTGTCACGAGCGTGTGGCGAGGTGAGCTGAGGTGAGGCAAGGATCCACACGCGGGGAGGAAAACAGGCAGGCAGGTGAGAACTTCTAACATTGATTTATTAGAGTCACACGCTGGAACACTGAAACAATGACACGACAGGGAACACAGAACAGAAGGGGTTTAAATACAAGAGGAGCGGGAGCTATGGTGATTGGGAAACAAGAGGCAGGTGGGAGCAATTAACGGAGAACAGACAAAACCTAAGAGTAGACAGGACAGGGCGTGACAGTACCCCCCCCTCAAAGGGCGGATCCCAGACGCCCACAGGAACAAGGAGCAGGGCGGGAGGGGGGGGACCCGGAGGGAGGGCCCAGAGGAACTGAGGGACCACAGGAGAGGCGGCAGGGATCAGCAGAGTCAGGAGGCCTGCGCCTGCTGCAGATGAGGAGGCGACGGGCCCTTGGAGGTCAGCGCCTGCTGCAGATGAGGAGGCGACGGGCCCTTGGAGGCCGGCGCCTGGGGCAGATGAGGAGGCGACGGGCCCTTGGAGGCCGGCGCCTGGGGCAGATGAGGAGACGAGGACGAACCCTAGGGGGCCTGCGTCTGGGGCAGATGAGGAGGCGACAGTCCCTTGGAGGCCGGCGCCTGGGGCAGATGAGGAGGCGAGGACAGGCCCTTGGAGGCCTGTGCCAGAGGCAGATGAGGAGATGAGGACGGACCCTTGGGGGCCTGCGCCTGGGGCAGAAGAGGAGGCGACGGGCCCTGGGAGGGCGGCGCCTGCGGTAGAGGAGCCCTGCAGGCTGGGCCGGGGACACAGGCAGGACCGGCGACAAAGTCCCTGCAGGCTGGACTGGAGCGACCTTCAGAGTCACCATCAGAACCGGACACGGAGGAGACGTCAGACCAGACGCGACGTCATCGGACGAGCCGACTTCAGGATGGCAGGCGGCGACGTCATCGGACGAGCCGACTTCAGGAGTGGAGGCGGCGACGTCATCGGACGAGCCGACTTCAGGAGTGGAGGCGGCGACGTCATCGGACGAGCCGACTTCAGGAGTGGAGGCGGCGACGTCATCAGACGAGCCAACTTCAGGAGTGGAGGCGGCGACGTCATCAGACGAGCCAACTTCAGGAGTGGAGGCGTCGACGTCATCAGACGAGCCAACTTCAGGAGTGGAGGCGTCGACCCTTGGATTGGAGGCGTCGACCCTTGGATTGGAGGCGTCGACCCTTGGATTGGAGGCGTCGACCCTTGGATTGGAGGCGTCGACCCTTGGATTGGAGGCGTCGACCCTTGGAATGGAGGCGTCGACCCTTGGAATGGAGGCGTCGACCCTTGGAATGGAGGCGGTGTTGACTTTCATCCGCTTCTGGTCCTCTGGCTTCTGGACCGCCGGTCCCCGAACCGCTGACCTCTGGGCTGGTAACGTCTGCTTCTGGGCCTGCACCAGACCCATCTGCTTCTGGGCTGGTACCGTCTGCTTCTGGGCCCGCATTGTCTGCTTCTGGGCCGGAACCGGAACCGTCTGCTTCTGGGCCTGCACCGTCTGCTTCTGGACCCCCCCTGGAACAGGCCTTGAGTGAACGAGCAGTGCTAGTGCTGAAGACAGGGAGCGCAGAGCGTCGAGTCGGAGCTGATTAGAATGGGCGCTCTGTTGAAGCCGGACCAGCTCAGCCCGTTGACTGGCCAGTTCAGTTGGCTGGACTGTGGGTGTGGCTCCACCTCCCACAGATGACAGAGGAGCCGAGTGGACCGGAGGCGGGACAGCTGGTTCAGCCGGAGCCGCGAACAGTTCGTCCAGCTGGAGCTCAGCGAGCAGGTGGTCCAGCTGGAGCTCAGCGAGCAGATCTTCCAGCTGGAGCCCGCGGAGTTCAGCGAGCAGATCATCTAGCTGGAGGACTTGGAGTTCGATGGTCTGACGAACCTGGGCTGTTTCAACCTGTAGACTGGCGTGCTCCGCCCACAGGGCTGCGAGCGCAGCTCCTCCTCCTGCAGACGCCGATTCGGCCGGAGACGGGACAGCTGGTCTGACCGGGGGCGTGTCCGAACTGGCTCGCCGAGCACGGCCAGCGGTGGGCTCGCAGCTCCGTCCTGAAGCGCAGGGCTGCGGTGGATTCCGGCGTCTCTCCCCACGCCGTGGACCAACCCCGGGGGAGCAGAAAGCCAGCCTCGTGCCCTCGAAGCTGGAGCGATCCCGGAGCATCTCTCCCTCCAACGTCCCGTCCGGTTCCGGAAGGGCGGCGAGGAACGCCGAGGCAGAAGGTCGGGGACGCCGTCTGCAGCGAGGCGGAGCTGGAGCTGGGGAAGGAGAAGCTGGTCGATAGTCGGCGGAGAAGAACTGGAATAAATACTTCCATGGGAGGATCTCCCCGCTGGACCCTTCAGGGGGTCGTGTCATTCTGTCACGAGCGTGTGGCGAGGTGAGCTGAGGTGAGGCAAGGATCCACACGCGGGGAGGAAAACAGGCAGGCAGGTGAGAACTTCTAACATTGATTTATTAGAGTCACACGCTGGAACACTGAAACAATGACACGACAGGGAACACAGAACAGAAGGGGTTTAAATACAAGAGGAGCGGGAGCTATGGTGATTGGGAAGCAAGAGGCAGGTGGGAGCAATTAACGGAGAACAGACAAAACCTAAGAGTAGACAGGACAGGGCGTGACACAATGTGACTATCACATTGTTACAATAACAAAGATCTCCAGCCGGCTGAGGGGCTGCCATGTTTTCTGTTTTAAAAAATGGCCTGGCCGCGATGGCCTTTCATTTGACAAACAGCGCCACATTTATTCTTCCTGGTTCTAGAGCCAATCATATTTCAGCTGGTTGGGTTGCCATATTTCTTCAAAACCTTCACGTTTGGTTATTCGTGTCCACTCTCTGTCCCATGCTAAAAGCCTACGCCACTACCCTCTCTCGCCTCCTTCCAGCTGTAACAGAGTTGTGGAGAGAATGGAAGCCAACAAACGGAGCAGCACAGATGTGATGTCTTGTAAATCTAAGAAGCCACACTATCCCTCCCATAAACAGACAGAAGGAATAAAATGAAGGTAAAGAATTCATTATCCGTAATAGGTCATCTGTCTCTGTCAGATGACGTTATCGGGTGCTGTAGCGTTGAATCACGGGATAGCTGGGTGTGGAAACAATGGAAGCATGGGTGGCTTTGTGTGTTGTGAGCTTCTAAACATGTAGAGAATGGTACAGTCGTGTTGTGTGAAGGGCTGCCATGCTAGGTCACACAATTGCAAGGAGCAAAACCTGATAATTGCATAAAGTGTAGCGTCAGTGCCTATGTTAGTGGTTTTTTTCTGTTGATCGTTGTCATTAAACTGTGTACTGAATGAAACTTTACAATAAACAATGCTGACAAGATGAAAAGGATCTGATCAATGTTTAAATAGTTTTCCTATTTGCAGTGTGCCTCTCTGATGTTAATCAATTTCGGTAGTTTCTTACAGCTTTACAACTATCTTCAGACATTTTAAACTTTACTCACAGAAAACATCGCAGAGGTAATCAAATTAATCAAGAAAAGATTCCCATCAGAACATCTGAGCATTATCTCAGACCTCCCTCGCCCATGGTGTCCCACAAGGTTCTATGCTGGGGCCTCTGCTCTTCCTCCTCTATCTGCATCCTCTTCAGCACATCCTGAGCTCCTTTAAAGGAATCTTCTACCATCTTTATGCAGATGACATCCAACTGTACATCTCCTTTAAGCCCCATGAGATGTGTAAGCTGCAGCTGTTACACACCTGCTTGGACTCCATTAAAACCTGGATGCTGGGAACTTTCTGTACAAGCTGGTTCCCAAAGTCAGAGACTCTCTTGGTCAGCTTGCTTGTCACACCAAACCCTCTGTCAGGAATCTTGGTGTGACCTATGACCCAGCTTTTACCCTGGATTCTCATGTCAGTTCTCTTGTTCGCTCTTCCTTCTTCCATCTCAGGAACGTTGCTAAGCTGAGTCCCATTCTGTCCCACTCTGAACTTGAGACAGTTCTCCACACCTTCATCTCCTCACGCTTAGACTACTGTAACTCTCTTTTCACGTGTCTGAGCAGAACCTCCCTGAACCGTCTACAGGTGGTTCAGAATGCCTGTGCTCGGCATCTGACCAAGTCCTCCAAACACACCCACATCACCCCGCTTCTCCTCCAGCTTCACTGGCTGCCAGTCAACTTCAGGTTTCATTTCAAGATCCTGGTTCTGGTCTTTAGGGCCTCACATGGACAAGCACCATCTTACATTGGTGATCTTCTCAGTCCCTACCCCCCGGCAGGTCCCTGAGGTCCAGTGATCAAAGCCTACTAGTTGTGCAGCACCAGGCTAAAGGTCAAAGGTGACAAATCATCTGCTGCTGTGGCCCCCAGACTCTGGACCTCTCTCCCCCTGAGCCTGACTCAGTGGTCTCCTTTAAAAAGCAGCTGAAGACTCACCTGTTCAGGCTTTGGTGGAACCTTCTTCACCACCTTCTCTTTATTCTGCTCTCCCCACCTTTTCCACCTTCCTCGGGATCCACTGATTTCCCTCTTTCCTGTTCACTCTCCCTCTTTCTTTCCATTTTTAATCACAATTGTCTATTTTTTGCTTATTTCAATATATTTTTAATAATTTTTTAAATTCTTTTTTTATATTTTACATTTTTTTGTTTTTGTGAAGCGCCTTGTGATTTTTATCTTGAGAGGCACTATAGAATAGATCTTTTCTTCTTCTTCTTGTTCTTGGACACCTTGGTCAGCGCAGCTCGCTGTCAGCGTGCACGACACAGCGAGCTGTGGAACTTTGGAGCTGAGGAGTGTGTTTGTGGGTCACAGGCCAGCAGCAGAACCATAAGAGTGCATGCAGAAAGATTTCCTCCCACTGAAGCGAGTGCTTTGCAGGTCTGGAAACCCTGTCTGTCAGAGAGACTTGTGACTTGGAGAAATGTTCCCTGGTTGTGAAACTTTGGTGGAATGTTTCAGTCTCCAGTGTGGCAGTGCGCTTTAAGCCTCCAACATTAAAACGTCCACGAGTGTACCTGAGGCAAAAGTCCAGAACCTCATCAAGCCTCTTCAGCAGCAAAGCTCTCTAGAGACATTTGATTACACACACACAGGTGACCTGCTCACGTTTACATGGAGCAGAAGGAAGGAGTGCGTTCGGGCCACGGCAGGTGAAATGTTCCTACTTTTAGTGAAATTGCTTATTTGTGTGGTCGGCTTGTTTAGACTAAATATTAATGGAAAATGAATGAAAATAAAATTGTAAAATTAGGGTTAGGTTAATAAAATTAAAATGATCATGACCATTTTTAAATCTGTCAGTAAAAATGACAACACGCTTAGCCGTTGCGACCTCTGCATATAGGTACTGTTTCTGCAGCTGCTTGCATGACCCATCCAGAATTACAATGGCCCATCCAGACATAGAAACCTGACTCAGCACCTGTTAGTGGAGTAGTGCTGTTGAACAGCTGGTGTTTTTACTTTTACTTCATGATAAATAATGTTGAAGTAGTACTCTTACTCAAGAGATGTATTTTCAGAGTGCTTCCCCTCCGTGTGTTCAGTGTGGGGTGGGGGTGACTCTTCAGTGTGAGACAATGGCGTCTGAACAAGGTCAGATGCTTGTGTTAGCAGCCCTGGCACCACGGGGAATCCTGCCTGAGAGACTTTTGGATGCTGTTAGGATGGGAAAACGCTACTAATTATTCTACCTGGCTACATTGTTGGTTTATTTTATTATTAAATAATTGGCCAACATTAAAATCCACAATTACTATTTTTTGTTGTTTTTCTTGTTCTTTTTAGCATTTAAAGAGGACAAAGAATCCAGTTAATCAGCATCATAAGAAGCTTTCACCAGGAGCCCTGATACGGCCTCGCTGACACTCCCCCCCCCCCCCCCCCACACACACATGAATATGCTAATGAGTTGCTTGCTGATTGGTTGGTTTAAACCAGAAGGCCTCAGACACTGGAGACTGCAGATTGAAGGAGGAAGGGCTCCACATTGTGACATTTTTATTAGGTTTCTCAGAAAGTTTTTCTCGCATTTTTAAACTTTCTAATTTACGTAAAAAGTAGGTCACACACGGCTTTGACGTTTTGGAATTGCTACTTTTAACCACCCACGCTGTCTTTATTCACAAACAAGAAAATGTTGGTTTGGATTCTTTGTCCCCTTTAATGCTTACATAATTAGCATTTTATTACCACAAATGAAGCACTTTGAAGAACATCCATTGGTCAGTTTTTATACTTACTGTTACTGGCTTTTGTTTTCTGTTTGAGTAAAATCACTTGATAAAGCCTTTCATACATTCCACACTATGAAATAGGTAAAAGTATGTATGATTTGTGCTGAAATCATATCGGATTGATATCGGTATTGGTCAGTACTGAAGGCTGTAATATCGGTGTCGTATCGGAAGTGAAAAAAGTTGTATCGGGACGTCCCTAAGTAAAATAAACTCACGACACCAGAAAACACAGCTGAGTTCCTCCAAAGCTGTTACTAAACTCCCAACATCAGACAAAACTGGGAAACTCCCCCACAATAACTTCATTAACAGGGCTTTGTTGTCCCACAGAGCAGAGCGCCTTAAGAAATGGCACTCCTTCTGGTCATTGAACGCCACATTTTACATAACACAGCAGCTTTCGTCCTCTGAATGGATTAACTTATGATATACTTCCACAAAATAAGTGCTTTAAATGCTATTAATGTTACGGTGGATGCTTTTTGGCGCTGATCAGTGACATCACTCACTGCCGAAGCAGTTGCGATGTGTGACGCAATCTGTGCAAAGTCCTGTAAGTGCTGAATTTCAATGGAGACACAACAGCTGAGAGGACAGAGGTATCGTATCTCCCAACCAGCTCTGGCGCTCCCTAAATGCACATCATGCACAGTGTGTAGGGCACCGAGTGGCCAGAAGGGCACCAAGCAATCAGGTTTATGAAAGAAAAAACAGATTATACACTCACCTAAAGGATTATTAGGAACACCTGTTCAACTTCTCCTTAATGCAATTATCTAATCAACCAATCACATGGCAGTTGCTTCAATGCATCTAAGGGTGTGGTCCTGGTCGAGAAAATCTCCTGAACTCCAAACTGAAGGTCAGAATGAGAAAGAAAGGTGATTTAAGCCATTTTCTGCGTGGCATGGTTGTTGGTGCCAGACGGGCCGATCTGAGTATTTCACAATCTGCACAGTTACTGGGATTTTCACCCACAACCATTTCTAGGGTTTACAAAGAATGGTGTGAAAAGGGAAAAATATCCAGTATGCAGCAGTCCGGTGGGCGAAAATGCCTTGCTAATGCTAGAGGTCAGAGCAGAATGGGCCGACTGATTCAAGCTGACAGAAGAGCAACTTTGACTGAAATAACCACTCGTTACAACCGAGGAATGCAGCAAAGCATTTGTGAAGCCAACACGCACAACCTTGAGGCGGATGGGCTACAACAGCAGCAGACCCCACCGGGTACCACTCATCTCCACTACAAATAGGAACAAGAGGCTACAATTTGCACCAGCTCACCAAACTTGGACAGTTGAAGACTGGAAAAATGTTGCCTGGTCTGCTGAGTCTCCATTTCTGTTGAGACATTCAAATGGTAGAGTCAGAATTTGGTGTAAACAGAATGAGAACATGGATCCATCATGCCTTGTTACCACTGTGCAGGCTGGTGATGGTGGTGTAATGGTGTGGGGGATGTTTTCTTGCTACACTTTAGCCACCCTAGTGCCAAATGGGCGTGGTTTAAATGCCACAGGCTACCTGAGCATTGTTTCTGACCATGTCCATCCCTTCATGACCGCCATGTACCCATCCTCTGATGGCTACTTCCAGCAGGCTAATGCACCATGTCATAAAGCTCCAGTCATTTCAAATCGGTTTATTGAACATGACAATGAGTTCACTGTACTACAACGACCCCCACAGTCACCAGATCTCAGCCCGATAGAGCATCTTTGGGATGTGGTGGAACGGGAGCTTCGTGCCATGGATGTGCATCCCACACATCTCCATCAACTGCAAGATGCCATCCTATCAATATGGGCCAACATTTCTAAAGGATGCTTTCAGCACCTTGTGGAATCAATGCCACGTAGAATTAAGGCAGTTCTGAAGGAGAAAGGGGGTCAAACACCGTATTAGTATGGTGTTTCTGATAATCCTTTAGGAGAGTGCATTAATTATAATATCAGCTGCTGAACAACATGCACACAAACAACACTGAGGTGACCATTTACTGGCGTTATTTCACACACATAATCCCATCTGTATAACCCAAACCGCTGTGCTTCTCTCTGCTCTGGCTGTGAGGTGGGCTGGTCTGGTTCTCTCTCCCAGAACCGTCCACCACCAAAGTGTCATGCTTTTATTTAGAAATGCCGTCGCGTCGCCAGCCGATTTTGACGGAGCTTCAATATTCTGTTGGTTGTCTTTGGTTTTGACTCATCAGCCACAGTCTGCGGGGCTGCCAACCTTTGAACATTTAAGTTTGTGAGAGCGGGGGTTGTCAAAACATAATTACTGGTAGTGTTGTGAAGGGCATGATGTTGTCCACTCCAGATGGACTTTAAATAACTTACATTATTATATTATTACAATTAAAAGTTCCTGTGCGACATCTGTGACATGTAGCTGTAACTCTTTACTGCAGACAGACAGACAGACAGTGTGAAGAAGATAGATGATCTGGTTTTAACAAGTTCCTCCTAATAAATTTTACTAGGGAAAAGAAAACTTGTATCAAACAAAATCAGATTAATGTATAGAAATAAATAAATAAAGTGCAGAGCACAAAAAGTCTCACTAAATGCTTTAACCCCCCCACAACCACCACCACGGACGGCGATTAGTCTGCACCCAAAGAAGCCCCCTTCACTCTCACGCATGGAAATGTAGAAAGTTGGCAGCCCTGCCTAGCTATTCATAATTTTAAGCCTTTAATTACACCTAAACAGAAGTGTTGTCATTACTGTCAACTATTAGACCCGAAATGCTTTTTTAACCAGGCTGTAAACCTGCTTATTTGTGCTGTGAAGCTGACATTTTAATAAGGGAGTCAATGAGGATTAGCTCTGTTTTGGACCCAGCCCCTAGTGGATGAGGGTAGAACTGCATTTTTGCCACTTCTGTGTTGGGGTGAGTTCTGGGTCCTTGGGGTTCCTGCAGGGTTGATGCCTACGGGTGTGAACCCTTCTTATTTACCTGTGTGTTCATATTTGTGTCTCAGCAGCGAGCTACTTTTCTGGAAGATCTTGTCACACAAGTCACAGGCGTACATGCTGCCATCGGTCTTCTTCATCTTCTTCCTGGCTGGACCAGAATCAGAATCATTCTGTTCGTCTATGCTGCTCTCCTCCTGTGGAGCAAGACAAATGTTGTTATAATGTTGGCTTCACCTCTCTCCATCCTGTTCCACAGCACAGATACCTACAGCCATGACTTGGACTAGAGTCACATGACTTGGACGCAAGTCAGCCTCGAATGATTATTTTAATGACTTCTGACTTGACTTGATAAAATCTATAAAGACTTGCGAATTGACTCGGACTTGAACGCCAATGGCTTGCGACTTGAATCGACTTGCATCTGTTGACTTGATGATGACTTGAGCATATTTGATATTTTAGCACAAAAGTAGCACGGCATGGAAAACTATCATGAATGGTTCTTGGTTCTGGGTTTGATTTGCTGCTAAACGCTGCAACACTTTGTTTATAATCAGTTTCACTTTCTGCTGTTTGAGCAAATAAACGAAGCTTTAAGAAGCTTTATTTCTGGAATTCATTTATTATCACCGTCATTAAATAAAAGATGGACAGATGACTTGATTATGACTTGAAAATTCAAAGTTAAGGGCTTGGACTTGACTTGGACTTGGTTGTATTGGACTAGAGACTTGACTGGAAAGACTTGCGACTTACAAAGCAGTGGCTTGGTCACACCTCTGCCCACAGCCCTTAATAAGCTGGAAAACACACACACACTCACAATCACACACACACATACATAGGCACACACTCACACACAAACACACACACACACACACACACACACACACACACACACACACACACACACACACACACACACACACACACACACACACACACACACACACACACACACACACACACAAAACACACGCAGGGTTATTTCCATGGTCCATGCTAGTGAAGGGTGTGAACATCTGGGATAAATGAGACTCATGCTCTCCTCCTGCACAACTTCAATGGCCTGGGATGAACATGATTTCATGTTTGCCAAATGGCTGGGAAACCTAACAATGTCTTACAACAGCCCCTCTTCAGTCTTTACATGTGATAACAAGTCCTTTTGTTTATGTTATTGTTGATTGTGTGGGCCCATTACCCCCCTCCAAGACAGGAAAAAGATTCCTATTAACTATGCTAACAGGTTAACTGTAATGAGTAGCCACTAGGTACCCTGAAGCCATTCTTTTGACATCCATCACTACCCGGCTAGTACTTAAAGCTTTAATGAACATCTTCTCTGTATTTGGATTACCGTGTTTCATCCAGACTGATCAAGTAACTAACTTTCCACATCCAGCGCCTCCAGCCAAGCCGTCAGCGACAAGTTCGGCGCCGCCAGCCAAGCTGTCACTGCCACCGCCTGCAGCGGCTCTGCCTCCAGTCCAGTCATTGGCCCCCCTGCAGCGGCTCCACCTCCACTCAGGTTGGCTCCTTCGGTCGCCGCCTCCTGCCGAGTCAGTGGCTCTGCCTGCAGCGGCTCCGTGACCGGTCACCGCTGGCCCTGCCCTCGCTAGGCGCAAGCCTCCCAGAGCCTGTTGCAAGCCTCCCAGTGCCTGTCGCCGTCTCCTCCTCTGCCCCAAACGCCGGCCCCCCAGACGCAGTTACCGTCTCCTCCTGTGTCCCAGACGCTGGCCCCCCAGACTTAGTCGCTCTCCTCAGGCCCCCTAGACTCTGTCCGGACCTGTGTTGGGCGTCCGGTGCCACCCTTTTGGGGGGCAGGAGGGGGGGTACTGTCAGACCCTGTTCAGTCCTGTGTCTCATGATTACTCCCACCTGCCTCTCGTTTTCCAAACACCAAGCTCCCAGCCCTCATTTATTTAAACCATCTCTGTTCCGTGTGTCTTGTCAGTTCATTGTTTCCATGTCCTGCGTGCATTCGTCATTAAAGACCCTTTACATGTTCCAGTCTGCCTGCCTGCTTCTTCCCCAGCATTTTGATCCTCACCTCCGCTCAACTCACCTGTGCGTTCACGACCCTACCTTCTTTAAAATGGTTTTGCCAAACAAAGAAAAGTCACTGTCTAGTTGAGACCAAGCCAGACGGGACACCCTGATTTATTACAGACTACAGAAAGTTAAACACAGTAACTACCAGATTCCTACCCACTTCCTTGGGTAGATGATTTCGTAGACAGTGCTGGCTCAGCTAAATGTGTAACTAGTTGGACTTGTTAAAGGGTTATTGACAGGTCCCCTTTACATGCAGTGTTTCCGATCTTTCAGCCTTTTTTACTTCTGATGTCTTCTTGCAATACGCTGTCCTGCCATTTGGCATGAGAAACTCCCCTGCTACTTTTCAAAGGCTTATAAATTATGTTGTGGCTAATCTTGATCATTGTAGCGCCTACTTGGATTTTACAGTAGTGTATACCTCTGACTGGTCCAAGCATGTAACTACTCTGCATTTATTGTTCGACAGGTTATCCCAAGGTCTATCTGACCTTGACCTTTTCTACATGTGAATTTGCAAAAGCCACTGTAAAATATTTGGGTAAGGGCATTGGGTAAGGACCGGTAAAAGTCCTTGAAGCCTAAGTGCAAGCCATATAGCAGTTTCTCAGCCCCACTTCTCGTAGAGAGCTACGTTGATTTCTTAAATTAAATCTGAACTCCTGAGAAGCTAGCAACATGAAGCTAAACCTGTAGTCACCATTGTTCAACTGGAAAGGTCTACTAAACTAGTATTCACTAGTTATGTTGAATTGAAACATGAATTGAATGTTGAATGTTGCTACCCACCGTGATCCCGTTGAGATGGATGGTCTCGTCCATTTGGGTCCCAGCTGGGCTGTTAGCTGTAGTGGTATAGGTGTAAGCCAGCTGGGGGATCAGGATAGTCTGTTTGTTAGTGGTGGATAGCGCTTTCAGGCATTGCATTGTGGTGACAATGTCAAGGGGTTTGGCACTTGGCTGGCTGGCGTACAGTTCAACAGGGCTACCCCCTATTGCTGAGAGTGGCAACGTGTCTTTCCTTGTGCAAGTTAAGTTCAGGGGTTCTTCCTCTCTGTCAGCACCAGAGGAAGCAGAAGTGTAAACACAGGCTGCGGGTATTGCTGTGTCAGCTTCTTCTCTAGCTTGTTTTGGCAGCGACAAGTCCAGGGGTCCCTCGGTGCTCTGCGGGTTGTCAGCTAGGATGGGACTACCAGCCATGAGGTTTAATGGTGTGGGGGAGGCAGGTGAACTGTGAGCACCATTGACCTCTGCTGGCGTGGCCTCTGTGGGGCTGCCCTGGCTCACAGTGGGCATCATAGTGGCTGTATTCTCTTTTTGGACAAGTGACACTACAGTGTGGGCATCACAGGAATCTTCCTCCTCTGAGGGAGGAGTTGGAGCACCAAAGGATATCTGGCCTTCTTGCATTTTGTCAAACCACTTCTTTACCATAAGGATTGGTAGACTCATGGAGTCAGAGATCTTGGCCAGTTCATCCTTGGAGGGCTCTGCATTTAGGGCAAAGTAGGCCTTGAGTAAAGACAAGACATTCTTGGGCTGGTTGCAGAGTCCTTCACCTGACAGCAAAGCAGAAACGGCAGACTCAGACTTATTCAGGCCCGCTCCATTCAGCAAGACACCACCTTTCTTGTGATGTTTGAGGGCATGAAGGTCTTCCAGCCCTCCGGGACAGTTGTCACACAGGAGACACGTTCTTGTTGTCTTCTCCCCGTGGGCCCTGCAGCCTCTGACAATAGGATCCTCAGGGAGTTTCTGGAACTTGAACATGTCAGGAGCAGTCTGAGTTGGAGAAACTGGTTTCTGCTCTTTCTTCAGGTTATGGGATGTGAGCTGGCCCTGGCTGGGATCCAGACTGTAGTTTATAATAATTTTTGCATTTCCATCCTGACCCACAATGGGCAGATTGATGGCTGAAATGAGTTGTTGCTGAACTGCTCCAGTGGTTAACCCCGAGTTCATCTGACCTTTGGAGTTGCTTTCCAACACCTGGCGAATGACGTTTTTGTCTACTGCAACTTTGAGTGCCTTCTGCAGGTCAACCAGGTTGATACTGATGGGTGACACCAGCCCCACTGTGGGCAGGACCACTGCCTGCACTGTTCCCTGCAGAGAGGCTGCAGCACCTCCGCTGAAAACCCCACCAGTCAGAGGAGGTGGCGTCAGTGCTGCTGGCTTGTACTCATAGTCCGCAGGTTCTACCTTGACCTGGTGAAGAGGGAGCTGCTCCTGCAAGGTTTTGCTGTGCTCCAGTTTCTCCCTGATCTGGCTGCAATGGACTGAAGGTGATGGTGGGAGGACTGGAGACGGAGCCTGGGACTGGCTTCTGGCACTCAGTCGCTGCCCGCTGTTTGGTGAGATGACACTGATGCACTTCTTACTACTGATGTGGGAACTGTATGAGCCGGAGTGGGAGAAGCGCTTCTTGCAGTTGGAGCACTCGTAGGGTTTCTCTCCTGAGTAAAATATAAAAAAAAATGTGTAAAAAAGAGATGGAGATGAGAAGTGTGTGTGGGGGGTGGGGTAGGGTGGCATGGAGGGGGAGGGGAGGGGAGGGGAGGGGAGGGGAGGGGAGGGGAGGGGAGGGGAGGGGAGGGACAGAGTCCCAATAGAGAAGGAAGCTAGGCTATTGCTGAGTTTCACATGATGTTGCAGCTGCATCACCAAATGCTGATGGGGTACAGAAGTAGCCGGCGCTGCACAGAACCCTATTTACTCTGTTGACTGGGAGTTAAAATGCTCACACTATGCACGGTCTACGCTAAGATTATTTTTTCAAGTCCCAAATGTTTAGCATCACAAAGGACTAAAAAACATACTGAAAGAAGATGGCAGATGTGGATCGGGAACCTTCGGGTTAAAACAGGAGGAGCTGAAACAGTCAATGCTAGAGCTTACAGCGACCACTTTCTAACAGGTGTGGGATGACTAATGGAATAATATTAAACAGTTACTTAGAAACATAGCCAAAAGAATGGCAGTTTAACAGTTTGATACCGTTTTCACGTGTCTTCACCACAAATAGCTGCAGAGTGCTAATGCTTTTAGCAGTTAGCTTAGTGTTGTAACGTGGCGTTTATACCTTTAAAAAAAATCAAACAAACTTACCAGAAATTTGGATTTAAAAAGGTATAAAAAGTTATTTTCAAGTAGATCCTAGCACATACTCATCATTAGCATTAGCACTAGCATTATTATCATGAGCTAAGTAATTGTAATAGCACAACTCACTACTTACTCGAGCAAAAACAAGACGATGGTCATTTAAAGCTTCTCCAGATCACTAAATGTTCAACCAACCTGAAATAAAACAGCTGTTGGCTTCCAGGCTTGTAAAGTCTTTCATTTGGTTTGCAGTGTTAATATAAGGCATGCAGCACGAGGTCGTTTGTTATGCAGATCGCTTCAGCGCTGGGTAAATCCTCCAGAGTGCATGAAATGTCCGACTTTTAAAACTATATGGGTCATAACCTGAAGGGAGATGTATTTTTTATCAGTATCGCATCTGTGCCAGCTCGTTTAAAGCCTCAGAACACTGACTTTCATCCATCATGCTCAGTTTTATAGTGGAGCAAAACACTTCCTGTCCCCCATGTGAATTTTGCATGATTACAGGGTCACATGAGTGAAACCCAGCAATGAGCACTATGGTAGGATAATGCTCTAATGCATTTTAGTGATGCTTAACCATTGGTGTAATAGCACCAGAGGGAGATACCCTTCTCTGATTGTTGTCCCATAACGCCAAAAGAAACACGATCATCTCTCATTATGGAGATACACACACACACAGAGAGAGAGAGAGAGAGAGAGAGAGAGAGAGACAGAGAGAGAGAGAGAGAGAGAGAGAGAGAAAGACACACACACACACGTACACACACACGTACACAGACATGCCCGCACACACACAGACACACACACACAAGCCCTTTTTGAAGACACACCATGCCAGCAAATCAGCGTACAACTGACACGGTGTGTCTTTTGAATATGCCGCGGTGACATGGCGTTATGGGGATTTGGCAGTATTTGGGCCGCCATGCTTGGTAGTAATATTACTGCAATGCCAGATTGTGAATACAAATTGCACCTTGGCGCAACAGAGCGAGGTGTCATGATCATGTGGGGAGTTACTGTCGAGCTCCAACAGGCAACTAAATAATAAATGAAAGTAAACGCGGGCCATAAGTTTCACTTTTGACTATAGAACCAGCTGAGATGATAAATTGAAGCGATGCAGAGCCCCAGGAGCTTCTCTTTGTTAGATCTGGAAGTCAGATCAAAGGACTGAGATTGTGGAGGACAGAAACCTTTAGGAGTAGCTTGTTAAAAAAAAAACTTAATGAGAGTGGATTTGATTGCAATGAAAGCAAGTTATGGCTAAGATAAACTAGGACGTGATTGTGCCACATTACTGCCATGGTCTGACCACTTATAAACAACCTAAGACTCAATTAAATTCTGTTTATATATAAAGCGTCAAATCACGACAAGAGTCGTCTCAAGGAACTTCTCATAGTAAACATTCCAATAGAGGTCAGTTTATTAAGCCAATCAGCAAAAGTTTCCTATATAAGGAACCCAGCAGGTTGCATCAAGTCACTGACTAGTGTCAGAGTCTTTACAGCAATCCTCATACTAAGCAAGCATGCAGCGACAGTGGAGAGGAAAACTCCCTTTTAACAGGAAGACACCTCCAGAGGATCCTGGCTCAGTATAAGCAGCAATCCTCCACGACTCACTGGGGATGGAGAAGACAGAGCAGACTTCAAACCAAAGGAGACATGAACGGTTATACTTTGGAGCGGTAAGGTGTCTGATGCCTTTTGTTGTGCATCAATAACCCACCAAGTGTTTATAATGCACTACCGACATGTTTGCTATGTTTGCTACTATACTTAAGCAATATCACACGAGAGGGAGCGCGTTGTTGCTGAATATCAGCACTGGTGTGATTCGGTCGTAGGCACGAGGCCGTAGATAATCACACCAGTGCTGATATAGTCCAGAATCAGCACTCTTGGAAAGTCTCTTGACCAATCAAATCACTCGGTCGGAACTAACTGTTGTATAATGAGATTTAGCCTGAAACAACGGTGTTGTTGATTCCCCTCTTTCCTATTCACTCTCTCTTAACATTTTTTAAAATCACAGTTGCCTATCTTTTGCTCATTTTAAATGTATTTTTTAACCATTTTCTAAATTCTTTTTTGTATTTTTTGTTTTTGTGAAGTGCCTCGTGATTTTTATCTTGAGAGGTGCTATAGAAATGATATTTTCTTCTTCTTCTCTGTTGTAAAAATGTTCTATATGCATATGTACATACAATGTTAACTGTTTATTTATTCTTTATTTAACCAGAAAGGTCCCGTTGAGATTAAAAAACCTCATTTACAAGACAGTCCTGGCCAAGAGGCGGCAAAAGTTACAGTTACAAATGTTTTAGTTACACAGACACGTTATGTACAAAATTACAGAAGGCAGTTACAACACAGGGAATCCGTCTCAAATGTTTTTGGTCTGGTTTTAAAGATAAACTCGGTTAATTTCCAGTTTTCCTGTAGCCTGTTCCATAAAGAAGGAGCAGTGTGAACTGTACATTTTAAATAAACGAACCTAGAGTTTTTTAGGTTCAAATGGACACAAAATCTTGTTTTTATTCATTCTAGAGGTAGTTTATTTTGCTCAAACTAAAATTCAGACCTGACTTTAATCCTGGCCTCCTTCCAATAAAGGCCTGGGCCTGTATTAAAGGATTTACAGTACCTTTGTGAGGACCATCCCTCGACTTCCATTCATTTTTGTGACTCCATGCCTAACCCATACCCATACCCTAACCAGTGCTGGTCTATTCCTAACCCTAACCTCAACTAAAACTTAATTACCACATTACCTCTAAAACAGAGGCGCCCAATCCTGGTCCTGGAGGGCCGGTATCCAGCAGGTTTTGTGGTTTTGCTGCTCCAACACACTTGGTTCAGTGGTTGAAACACCTGTGCAGCCGCTCATCAGGCTCTGCAGAAGTCTGTTTATTACATGCTGATTGAAATCAGGTGTGTTGAAACAAGAGTTAAAAGTAAAACATGCTGGATATCGACCCTCCAGGACCAGGACTGGGCACCCCTGCTCTAAAGCCAACTGTGAGTGAGGACCACAAAAATGTCCTCACTTCGTTGGTTAAAACTCATGATGGTCCTCAGTATGCAGTAAGTACAAGAACACACACACACACACACACACACACACACACACACACAAAGCTTGTTTACTCACCACTGTGGATGCGGAGGTGCTCCTTCAGGTGGTGCTTGTATTTAAAAGCTTTACCACACTCGCTGCATTTGAACTTCCTGTTGCCTGTTGACTGTGTGGTGTGCTTCTGTCGGATCAGAGGTCAAAGGGTCATTCAGTCTGACACAACTTTTGGACTTTCACTGATTATTATCACCACGCCAGAGATGGGAAAAGAGGAAGCACTCCCGTTTACCACTGAGCTCGACCGTGACTGCTGCAGCCTAACCCTGATCTCACCAACGTCACCTCTCCCATCATCCTGTAACCAACTCCCTTACAGATGAGTGACCTCTGACCGCAGAGTTGTGTCTACACAGGAAACAACTTCATTCTATACAATATTACCTCAACCCACACGGCTGTTAGTGAGCTCCACATCTAACGCATCTGAGCTACTGCTGGATAGTCATGGACAGTGGTGATCAGCTGCTTCTTACCTGATCGCGCCCAAACTTGTGGATGTTCATATGACGCTCCAGTTGTGCACAGTGTGCAAAGCTGTAGCTGCACTCTGTGCAGCTGAAGCTCTCCCCGGTCTTCTCGTGATGGTACTTGATGTGCTCCTTCAGGGAGCTGTAGCGCTTGTAGCCCCGTGAGCAGTAAGGGCACGTGAGCAGCTGGGAGAAGGAATCTGGAGTTCCTGGTTAAAGAGAAATGATAAATAAAACACAGAGAGTGGAGGGGAGGGAGCTTTGTGATGTTGACAGTAACACTCCTGTGCAACTTTAATAATGACTGAGATATTCTCCCCCTCAGGTAAACAGTGCCAGATAACTGAGCAATCAGAGCTGCACACATCACATGTCCTGTTGTAGGCTTGTGCCATTAACAACCATTTTACATCTATTATGGGTGGAAATCCTCCGTGTGTCTGAGGAAGTAAAGCCACCTGCGCCGGAGCAAAGAGCCGCTGCCCCCAGGCTCCCACACAGGTAAAGTATTACATTGTTAACAGGTGATGTATTAAGTCCCCCTGGAGGCCAGGTGAGGGCCTTGGGTGGGAAAGGCATACACATTATCCACCAAGCAGCAGTGAGCCAGAGCCAAATGTACTCAGGTGTCCTCTTCTTCCTCTCAGTTAAGAGGCAGCAGCCATGACGGCCCCAGCCTTGTACACCTAGACAGGCAGCGTAATGATCTCAGAGAGGTGCTAACAAGCTCCAGTTTACATGTGAGGTGAGACAGGGTGCAGGTAGAGGCCCCTCTCGGAAGGCTAACTCACATCCAGGTGTTGTGTTGTAAAATGTGACAGCTCAGTGCTGAGCCTCTAGGTGGGAAGAGTGACCTGGGAACACTGCGTGATTCCTATACCGTTCTCATCATGGATGCTGGCATCGGGGGTCCCTTGCCGATTAGGATCATCATCTGGAGCCTCTGGATAAATGATAGCCGTGTCCCCTTGCTGGAGCATCTCCTCCACCAGGGCATCCGTGCTCAAGTCATCCTCACCCTCTGAAGCACAGTCCGCCTTGACTGTAAAAAGAGGAGCACACTTGTTGTTACCGTGTGAAACCCTAGGTCATGACGTTGGGGTGAGAGGCTTTTACAGTCAAAGCAGCCGGGGAAGGAGTCATGAGGCAACAAGGGAGACAAACAGGAGTGGAGACACGAGCAGAGCTGTGAGGTCTGAGTCTGGGCTTAAGAAAGCTGCCGCTTGTGGCTGATAATACAACTACACACTTGGACCTCAGTGTTAGTGAATCAGAAGCTCAGCATCTCTTTCCTCCCAGCACACAAGCTAGCTTCCAACTATAGGGGAATAGGGGTGGGACCCAAAAAGTGCTTCTTGCTGAGAACCGGTTCCCACTGTTTCAGTTCCTAGGGATGGTTTGCAAAAATGGCAAAACATTCCCTAATCAAGTCTAGTCAGCGCAAGAGATGTCAACACACGCGTTGCATAGCTTACACATTTACGCTGAAGCAGCTCAAAAGTTTAGTTGAACTTCACGAGAAAAGATGACAACAGGGTAAGTAGCAACACTTGCGCAGCAGGTACTTCATGGAAGGGAGGAAACAGTACAGATGTGCAAAAGCATTTGCACACAAAATACGTATAACACAGTGAATGTCGTGTTTTTGACCCGCTCAAGACTACTGAACTTCACACAGCAGCGATGAGATTTGCACATCCTCCCTTTGTAATACCGCAGGTAACTAATCAACTAACACTACCTATCATGTTAGCCCCATGTGCCTGACATGCACCCCCCACACTAGCCGACTCCAGTGACTAAAGTCTGACCTGTGGTGAGATTTAGCCCATTTTGCAAAAGCTACAGCAACACTACACCGTACAAGAAGACTGCCTTCACAAGGAGCATGAAAGAGAGATCTTTCTAAACGATATCAGGTACAATTGATTATTTATCCGACTGTGATCTCATTATTTTGACTTAGCTAGGTTCTGGGACTCATGCTGGCCTCCACGGATTTTTGTTTTAGCACTTCAGCATTTTTCAACCGGCACCACAGCCTCTGGTCGTGCCGAGTGGTCAGAATTGCTATTTTCACGTATTTGCTACAAGATCTCCCAAGAATAAGTTAACGATGTACACAAAACTGTTCATACCTCTTCCAGAACATCCAAGTATGGACAACGCCTGTGTTGTATGTGTCTACATACACAGCTATGAAGGTAAGCTAACAAACTTCTGCTCTGAGTTACCAAAGATGCTACATGCTAACTCTCTATTAGCCAAAGTTAACACAACAAGGAAACGGCGTGATAAGTTAAGGTCATGGGTGTTTTTTGTGTCTGAAACCTGTATGTTACAAGCGGTCAGGAGAGGTCATGTTTCAGTCCAAGTGTTTCAGGTTTCAGGATAGATTCAGGTTCAAAAGAAGACAGTTCATGTGTTTAAAATTCAAGTTTTTGCGAGAAATACCATTGCTTTCAGTTTGATAACAGGTTAATGCCATGTGGGAAACAACATGTGGGTCATGTGGTACCGGAGAGAGTGAAAATGTTTCCCAGGAAGACTATAATAAGTAAAGTTTGTCTATATAGCATCTGTCACAGAAAGTCAGACATTAAAATGAAAACAGACAGAACCAAACATCACTTAAAATAAAGCAGCTCATAAAATACATTTAAAAATATCACATTGAATAGTTTTAGCTGCTTTTAAAAGATGTTATGACTTTCAATTCAACATGAATAAAGGAAGGTCATTCTGTGCATTCTAATGCAAATAACTTGTAGAAGCACAGCTTTATTTAGAGTTTTTGTCATTTTTCATGACTTGTTCTACTCTTCTATTTTAACATTAGTGAAGTTGACCATATTCCACTAAAATTATAAAATCATTTTACACATTTTAAAGATTACTAACAAATATTCACTAACAAATGCTCCAAGCATTTGTGTCTGTCTTTCTTTAAATGCAGTTGTGTTCTAACAAATGTTCTGTGTTTTTACAGGTTGTGCTAAGGGATTCAAAGCCGGTGGTACTACTGAGGTGCCGGCGTATGTGTGGTACGTGCAGCCTTGTGCTGTCGTGGCAGCTCTATTACATCGGTTCCCGCAGCTGCACAGAAACTGAACAACAGTGGCGCAAACCAAGGACCACGGTGGCAATCGTTATACTTTTATTAGCAGTAGACTTTGTCCAAGTTTCTATTTTTTATTCTACGGTTTTATTATCTTTTGCTCTTTTTCGGTCATTTTTATATTTTTTGTGACTAAATTTTTATGCTGTTTTTAATTCATTGCTGATTTTTGATTTTATTTTTTAACAGTCTATCTTTATATTCCTTGATTGTGAGGGCTCTTTTTAGCATTTCATTTACTGTTTTGTGTCTGTGTTTACATCGCCCTCTCTTGTATTTAGGCACTTTGATCAGCTGACATGCTGTTTTTAAATGTGCTCTACGAGAAAAATGGTATGGTATACTTTTATTATGTGTATGGATATTTCTGGGATAACCTTTAAACTTGTTTTCATTTGGAAACAAGGTATTAAAGCTGGTCCAGTTAATGACATGGTCATCGTATCAGCCAGACCAAGAGAGAAGACTCTGGTAGAAGGAACAAGGTGCTTCTGTCTGTACCACACATGCTGCTGATATCTCCCCAGACTCTGCCAGCTGCTGGTTGTGAGCCCCCGGGGCAATCCTCTGCGTCTCTCGAAGGGGGCAGGGGCTTTTCTGGTTACAGTCTCCCTGGGGTCCCTGTGCTCTGGGGCAGCTCCTGGATCTCTGGGACTTGGAGCTCCCTCCATCTCCTACACATTTTTGGGGGGCAGATCTGTGGCCCCTCCCACTCTCTATTGGATGCCCCTATAGAGAAACCTTACATATACAAGCGCGTGTACACACACAGGTGTTCACATGGTGCTCTCATAAGTATGGACTTGGGCATTTTCAACACATGTCTTAAGGCTGTGGTTGGCACTAAATGCACTGTGACTTATTATCGTGTGATTGTTCAGTAAAACAATGTTGATTTTATATTTCCTCATCAGGTTGATGCAGTGATAGCTTGCTCTAGTTGTATTGTTGTGTGTGTCCCTTTTTTTGTTTGTTTTTCTCTTTCTGCAGGTTGAGAAACAGACTCTTGTTCATTGATTGTTTATTTTTGTGGTTGACTATAGAAATGATATTTTCTTCTTCTACACTGAACAAAAATTTAACCGCAACACTTTTGTTTTCGCTCCCATTTTTCATGAGCTGAACTCAAACAACTGAAAATGTGTCTACATACACAAAACACCCAAGACTCTCAAATATTGATCTGAAATCTGTCTACATGTGTGTTGGTGAGCACCTTTCCTTTATCAAGATAACCCATCCCACCTCACAGGTGTGGCATTTCAAGGGGTTTATTAGACAGCATGAATAATGTACAGGTGTGCCTTAGACTGCCCACAATAAAAGGACACCATGACATATACACAGTTTTGCTTTATGGAGGTGGTGGGGCAGGAAAACAGTCAGTATCTGGTGTGGCCACCATTTGCCTCATGCAGGGCAACACATCTCCATCGCATAGAGTTTATCAGGTTGTTGATTGTGGCTTGTGGAACATTGGTCCACCCCTCTTCAATAGCTGTGCGAAGTTGCTAAATATTGGCAGAAACTGGAACACGCTGTTGTATACGCTGATCCAGAGCATCCCAAACGTGCTCAATAGGTGACATGTCTGGTGAGTATGCTGGCCATTCAAGAGCTGGGATGTTTTCAGCTTCCAGAAATTGTGTACAGATCCTTGCAATATGGGGCTGTGCGTTGTCATGCTGCAACATGAGGTGATGGTCATGGATGAATGGCACAACAATGGGCCTCAGGATCTCTTGTGTATTCAAAATGCCATCAATAAAATGCACCTGTGTTTGTTGTCCATAACATACAGCTGCCCATACCAGTACCCACCGCCACCATGGGCCACTTATTCCACAACGTTAACATCAGCAACCACTCACCCATACGACGCCACACACACAGTGCCATTTGCCTTAAACAGTAAAAACTGAGACTCATCTGAGAACAGAACACCTCTCCAACATGTCAAACGCCATTAAATGTGAGCGTTTGCCTACTCAAGTCGGTTACGACGAGGGACTGCAGTCAGGTCCAGACCCCAATGAGGAAGACAAGCATGCAGATGAGCTTCCCTGAGGCGGTTTCTGACAGTTTGTGCAGAAATTTTCTGGTTATGCAAACTGATTGTTGCTGCAGCTGTCTGGGTGGCTGGTCTCAGGCAATCCTGGAGGTGATCATGCTGGATGTGAAGGTCCTGGGCTGGTGTGGTCACAGCAGGTCTGCAGTTGTGAGGCCGGTTGGATGTACTGCTAAATTCTCTGAAACGCCTTTGGAGACAGCTTATGGTAGAGAAATGAACATTTCATGGGCAACAGCTCTAGTACACATTATTGCAGTCAACATGCCAATTGCACACTCCCTCAAAGGTTGTAAAATCTGTGGCATTGTGTTGTTTGATCCAACTGTACATTTCAAGGTGTCCTTTTATTGTGGGCAGTCTAAGGCACAACCGTACATTATTCATGCTGTTTAATCAACCCCTTGAAAAGGCCACACCTGTGAAGAGGGATGGATTATCTTGGTAAAAGAAAACTGCTCACTAACACACATGCAGCGTCATTGGTGTTTGTGGATGTAGACACATTTTCAGATGTTTGAGTTCAGCCCACGAAAAACAGCAACAAAAGTGTTGCATTTATATTTTTTGTTTTGAATTGTTAAGTGTATATGCCATTTCCGATTTTTAGAGAATGTTTCAATTGGGAAAGTTTAAAGGTACATAAACCAACAATTTGACCAATACTTATCATATTGAAAACATAGTCCCTTGGCTGATACTGATGACATCCACTAAGTTTCCTGCAGATCTATCTAGCAATACCCTCTAGGTATGAATGTTTGAATCTGAGTAGCTGTGCGGATTTTTTATCAGACTGCCATGCTAGATTATTCCTGGCATTTTCTGATTCTAGCACCCGTGTTCCATTAGCAGT